AACTGGTTACTGCAGCGTGCCGCTCCGAACTGGTTACTGCAGCGTGCTACTCCGACCTGGTTACTGCAGCGTGCTGCTCAGAACTGGTTACTGCAGCGTGCCGCTCAGAACTGGTTACTGCAGCGTGCTGCTCCGACCTGGTTACTGCAGCGTGCTGCTCCGGACTGGTTACTGCAGCGTGCCGCTCCGACCTGGTTACTGCAGCGTGCTGCTCAGAACTGGTTACTGCAGCGTGCTGCTCCGGACCGGTTACTGCAGCGCGCTGCTCCAACCTGCTTACTGCAGCGTGCTGCTCTGACCTGGTTACTGCAGCGTGCTGCTCCGGACCGGTTACTGCAGCGTGCTGCTCAGATCTGGTTACTGCAGCGTGCTGCTCCGAACTGGTTACTGCAGCGTGCTGCTCCGACCTGGTTACTGCAGCGTGCTGCTCCGGACCGGTTACTGCAGCGTGCTGCTCTGACCTGCTTACTGCAGCGTGCTGCTCCGAACTGGTTACTGCAGCGTGCTGCTCTGACCTGGTTACTGCAGCGTGCTGCTCCGACCTGGTTACTGCAGCGTGCTGCTCCGGACTGCTTACTGCAGCGTGCTGCTCCGGACCGGTTACTGCAGCGTGCTGCTCTGAACTGGTTACTGCAGCGTGCCGATCAGAACTGGTTACTGCAGCGTGCTGCTCCGACCTGGTTACTGCAGCGTTCTGCTCAGAACTGGTTACTGCAGCGTGCTGCTCTGAACTGGTTACTGCAGCGTGCCGATCAGAACTGGTTACTGCAGCGTGCTGCTCAGAACTGGTTACTGCAGCGTGCTGCTCTGAACTGGTTACTGCAGCGTGCTGCTCCGACCTGGTTACTGCAGCGTGCTGCTCTGAACTGGTTACTGCAGCGTGCTGCTCAGAACTAGTTACTGCAGCGTGCTGCTCCAAACTGGTTACTGCAGCGTGCTGCTCAGAACTGGTTACTGCAGCGTGCCGCTCAGAACTGGTTACTGCAGCGTGCTGCTCCGACCTGGTTACTGCAGCGTGCTGCTCCGGACCGGTTACTGCAGCGTGCCGCTCAGAACTGGTTACTGCAGCGTGCCGCTCAGAACTGGTTACTGCAGCGTGCTGCTCAGAACTAGTTACTGCAGCGTGCCGCTCAGAACTGCTTACTGCAGCGTGCTGCTCAGAACTGGTTACTGCAGCGTGCCGCTCAGAACTGGTTACTGCAGCGTGCTGCTCAGAACTGGTTACTGCAGCGTGCCGCTCAGAACTGGTTACTGCAGCGTGCTGCTCCGACCTGGTTACTGCAGCGTGCTGCTCCGGACCGGTTACTGCAGCGTGCCGCTCAGAACTGGTTACTGCAGCGTGCTGCTCCGAATTGGTTACTGCAGCGTGCTGCTCAGACCTGGTTACTGCAGCGTGCCGCTCAGAACTGCTTACTGCAGCGTGCTGCTCAGAACTGGTTACTGCAGCGTGCCGCTCAGAACTGGTTACTGCAGCGTGCTGCTCAGAACTGGTTACTGCAGCGTGCTGCTCTGACCTGGTTACTGCAGCGTGCCGCTCCGAACTGGTTACTGCAGCGTGCCGCTCAGAACTGCTTACTGCAGCGTGCCGCTCAGAACTGGTTACTGCAGCGTGCTGCTCCGAACTGGTTACTGCAGCGTGCTGCTCAGAACTGGTTACTGCAGCGTGCCGCTCAGTACTGGTTACTGCAGCGTGCCGCTCAGAACTGCTTACTGCAGCGTGCCGCTCCGAACTGGTTACTGCAGCGTGCCGCTCAGAACTGGTTACTGCAGCGTGCCGCTCAGAACTGGTTACTGCAGCGTGCTGCTCCGAACTGGTTACTGCAGCGTGCTGCTCAGAACTGGTTACTGCAGCGTGCTGCTCCGAACTGGTTACTGCAGCGTGCTGCTCCGAACTGGTTACTGCAGCGTGCTGCTCAGAACTGGTTACTGCAGCGTGCCGCTCAGAACTGGTTACTGCAGCGTGCCGCTCAGTACTGGTTACTGCAGCGTGCCGCTCAGAACTGCTTACTGCAGCGTGCCGCTCAGAACTGGTTACTGCAGCGCGCTGCTCCGAACTGGTTACTGCAGCGTGCCGCTCAGAACTGATTACTGCAGCGTGCTGCTCCGAACTGGTTACTGCAGCGTGCTGCTCAGAACTGGTTACTGCAGCGTGCCGCTCAGAACTGGTTACTGCAGCGTGCTGCTCAGAACTGGTTACTGCAGCGTGCCGCTCAGAACTGGTTACTGCAGCGTGCTGCTCAGACCTGGTTACTGCAGCGTGCCGCTCCGAACTGGTTACTGCAGCGTGCTGCTCAGACCTGGTTACTGCAGCGTGCCGCTCAGAACTGGTTACTGCAGCGTGCTGCTCCGGACTGCTTACTGCAGCGTGCTGCTCAGAACTGCTTACTGCAGCGTGCCGCTCAGAACTGGTTACTGCAGCGTGCTGCTCAGACCTGGTTACTGCAGCGTGCCGCTCAGAACTGGTTACTGCAGCGTGCTGCTCCGAACTGGTTACTGCAGCGTGCTGCTCCGGACCGGTTACTGCAGCGTGCCGCTCAGAACTGGTTACTGCAGCGTGCTGCTCTAACCTGGTTACTGCAGCGTGCCGCTCAGAACTGGTTACTGCAGCGTGCTGCTCAGAACTGGTTACTGCAGCGTGCCGCTCCGAACTGGTTACTGCAGCGCGCTGCTCTAACCTGGTTACTGCAGCGTGCCGCTCAGAACTGGTTACTGCAGCGTGCTGCTCAGAACTGGTTACTGCAGCGTGCCGCTCAGAACTGGTTACTGCAGCGTGCTGCTCAGAACTGGTTACTGCAGCGTGCCGCTCCGAACTGGTTACTGCAGCGTGCTGCTCAGAACTGGTTACTGCAGCGTGCTGCTCCGACCTGGTTACTGCAGCGTCCTGCTCCAAACTGGTTACTGCGCTGCTCAAGTGGAAGAGCTGGCAGCCTCCACACTTCAGCCCTGTGTTGGGCGCATCCCATGCTGCCCCTCTGCTCTTGGCTGTGCTTCCTGCAGCTTCTGCGAGGGCCTGCCTGGCTCTCCCACTGCCTGGTTGGGGGCACAGGGTTAATCCGGGGTGTGGTGGCACGGGATTAACACAGGCGCCTCTGCTTGGGTCCTGCCTTTCTGAGCGAAGGGTGAACCGATAGGCTCTGTGAGCACCGTGCCACGTCGTGCCTCAAGTGTTTCTCTCCAGCTCCCTCTTCCTTTTTCTGTAGTCCAGACAGGCTGAGAAGACTTTGTATGTGAGTGTGCCCAGCTGATGCAGACTCCAACCTCTAAGGGATATCTGTTTTAAACTAAACAAGATCACAGCGTAGGCCTAAGGCACGACGTGCGGTGCTCCGTACCGTTACATTGCCAGGACAGTCCCTGGTGACATCTGGTGCTCGCAGCTGGGGCTGTTGGTGCCGGTGTGCGCTCCCTCGGGCAGTGTCTGGGCACAGCGGGAAGGACAGCAGAGGTCGAGTGTTGTTCATGATGCCACTGACAGAGGGGAGCAGGAGAACTTACATGTGAATAGAAGCTGTTGTGGTAGCTGCTCTCATGGCCAGAAAACATTACCTGGCTTGTCCTCTTTGCCGGTATGGACACAGCCCCACAGTGTCCCTTGAAAGGGTCCAAAATCACACTCATCATTAGATCATTATAAAAATGAGAGTTCTTTTAAATCTTTGATTTTTGCTTTTTGCTGTTGATTTGTTTTTGGTTTATTTGTTGTTTTGGGTTTTTTTTTAATCATGCTGACAGCTTGACATTAATCGTGTCTTGTGACAAGTTGCAAACATAATTACAAGACAGAGGCTAAAGATGCTGTCACATTGGGAAGCACACAACTCATGGCAAGCCAAATTCTTTGACTTAGCAAGTACCTTGTTCAACAGGAAGGTCTATTTCAGATAGCAGCTTAAATCACAGGACTGCTGTATCTGGGGTGGGGCGGGGGGCTTCATCTTCTTTGTGTGGTTAAAATGTCAACTGTGCCAATTTGGTCTTCCGAGGCAATGCAGCTTGGTCTTCCTCAGCAGATGCTTCCATGAGAAGGCTGCTGCTTGTAGGTTGCTAAGGGATTAGCAAAATGTGATAATCCCTGACACACAGGGAATATTTTGCTTTTCTCCCAGTGGACTTTTCCTCCTAACTAGCCTAGTGGGCTCACTCGCAATTGCAGGAAGTATTTTGCAGTGCATTGGCTGTTCCCTGCGGAACACTTCCAACACCTTGAGTTTTCAGAGATAAAAACCAGCATTGCAGCTGTACTGCTCAGGCAGCGCTTCTGGTGAGGTCTCTTACACAGGTATGATTTGCTTTTAGGTCTCTTTACTCCAGTCGATGTCTTCTTATAGTTTTTAAAAATCTAACACTTTCCAAAGTCCTTTGAATGAAGAAATACCAACTTCCAAAATTCTGCTTAGTAGCTTTCTCGCTAGAAGCACAAAGAATGTGCAAACCATTTTTTCCAAAAGAAAAGGAGAATCCTGCCAGCTCTAACACTGGGCACAAGAGGAAAAACATGGCTCAGGGCAGGGGGGGAAACTGGATTACTTTATCTCAAGGCTATCTATATTGTTCATTAAAAGTTTCCAGGAATCCGTTAGACCTACTTATTCCTGGTATTTATTTAAAAATATTCCACTCTGATTTTATACACAATTGCTTAACACTTGCTTAACTTTAGTTATGACTCATGCCAATGATTCATGAAAAACGAGACATTTGAATCTCCCCTTTCCTTTTGCAAAGGTACCTAAAAGCAAAAGATAACAGCTGTCCCAGAATAGAGCAGAAAACTGCAGGGAGCACTGTGGTAATAATAGAGTCATTGCTCTTTATCATTATATATCGTCTTTGAAACTTAATTGAAATATTTTCCATTAAATGAACTCATAGTATATCAATGTACGTCTGCATAATTGTACAAATTTTAATGTTCTCAGGTGTCTGAAATGGAAGTCACCCAGTACTGCTGACGATATATTTATTCTAACAAGTAAAATATGTCTTTTTATTCTTCGAAGGTTTCCTTGAACAAGGCTTACTAGTTCAAGATGAAAAGAAATTACGAGATCATTATACCAAAACTGTCCAGTTCAAACTGGATGTGCTGTCCCTTCTGCCAACAGACCTGGCATATTTGAAGCTTGGTTTGAACTACCCCGAACTGCGATTTAACCGCCTGCTGAGGATTCCTCGTCTGTTTGAGTTTTTCGATCGTACCGAAACCAGGACAAATTTTCCAAACATGTTTCGTATCGGAAATCTAGTCTTATACATTCTTATCATCATCCACTGGAACGCGTGTATATACTTTGCAATTTCGAAGCTCATCGGATTTGGAACCGACTCATGGGTCTACCCCAACGTGTCCATTCCGGAGTACGGGCGCCTGTCTAGAAAGTACATTTACAGCCTGTACTGGTCAACGCTCACGCTGACAACCATTGGCGAGACACCGCCCCCGGTGAAGGATGGAGAGTATCTCTTTGTGGTCATTGACTTCCTGGTGGGTGTGCTGATCTTTGCTACCATTGTGGGTAACGTGGGCTCCATGATTTCCAACATGAACGCCTCCAGGGCAGAGTTCCAGGCCAAAGTGGATTCCATCAAACAGTACATGCATTTCCGAAAAGTGACTAAGGATTTGGAAGCCAGGGTTATTAAGTGGTTTGATTACCTCTGGGCCAACAAGAAAACAGTGGACGAGAAGGAAGTTCTCAAAAATCTGCCTGACAAGTTAAAGGCTGAAATTGCCATCAATGTCCATTTGGACACCCTGAAGAAAGTGCGTATATTCCAGGACTGTGAAGCTGGACTTCTCATTGAGCTGGTGCTGAAACTGAAACCTACGGTCTTCAGTCCTGGGGACTACATCTGCAAAAAGGGAGATATTGGGAGAGAAATGTACATTATTAAAGAGGGAAAACTGGCTGTGGTGGCAGACGATGGAATAACCCAATTTGTAGTCCTAAGTGATGGCAGCTACTTTGGCGAAATCAGCATCCTAAATATCAAAGGTAGTAAATCTGGCAACAGGAGGACAGCCAACATAAGGAGTATTGGTTATTCTGATTTGTTCTGCTTGTCTAAAGATGATTTAATGGAAGCCCTCACAGAATATCCGGAAGCCAAAAAGGCTCTGGAAGAGAAAGGGCGACAAATTCTGATGAAAGACAATTTAATAGATGAGGAAGCAGCAAAAGCAGGAGCTGACCCAAAAGACTTGGAAGAAAAAATAGAAAGACTTGAAACAGCTCTGGATACGCTGCAGACTAGGTTTGCGAGGCTCCTGGCAGAATACACCTCATCTCAACAAAAGATGAAGCAGAGACTTGCCAGAGTAGAAACCCGAGTGAAAAGATACGGTAGTGGCACTTTATCACTTGGAGAAGCAGAGGCTGAAAAACCTGAGGAGGAGAAAAAGCAGTAATGGAGCATTTATATCCCCTCACTTACTGGAGAAGGTTGAAGCGTATGAAAGTCATCAATGTATGTAAATATCTGTGTGCGTACATAGAGATGATTATTTTTATATGACCTCAAAGAGAACGGTTTTTAGCATTTTTAACCGAAGCGGTATTTTCTTGTAAATGAAACACTGTCACCTTCTTCTTAGGGGGAGATTTGGTCTGGCATTTGGGTACTTTTTTGTACTGGGAGCAGGTTTCTTAACAAGTCACGCTCAGAACATCTGTTGTGTATGGTACACGTACATCTTGACATATTGTCTCTTCCCATGCATGTTGTGTTAAGAAGGCATTGTACTTATAGTAGAAGGGATTGTTTGTTTGCCTTTTTTTTTTTTTTTTTTAAGGGCTTAAAAAATATTTATAGGATACATGCTCTACCTTGCTACCTTAGTAGCTGATTAAATGCATGGACGCACCCCTGGGCTTCTCCAGATCTTTCTTCTTTCACAGTGAGGCGTCTGTGCAAGCAGGTGGGCTACAGCTAAGCAGCAGCACGTACCTGGCCTACGCCGTGTAGCCCTGCAGGTGTATGAAATAGCCACGCTGCCGGAGGCCTTCGCCTGAATCTGATGAGCTGGGCTCTGCACAACGGACCGTGCTGCCAGAGCAGCAGTGCTTATTCACGTCCTGCCTGGCATGGTCTGCGACAGCCTTTGCTGCTCTGCAGCTGCTCCTCTTGGGGATAAAGTGGGAGATTCCTGGGGGTTTTTTGTATGTTTTTTTTTTTTTTTAAGCTCGGCCCCATCCCCACTGGTAAAACCCTCACTTGAAAGGGAGTCCCCGGAAGCTCGCTAGTGAAAGGCATGTGTGGTAATCGGGCTTTACTACACCTGGGAAGAGAGAAGAGCCCCTGTACGGAGTCCTGAGTGAATTCCCTCTCAGCAATGGGCAGCCCCAGAGGGAGGCTGCTGAGGAATGGCCTGGGCCGCTTTCTCCCGCGGCAGCAGGGTTTCTGTGAGGCAGGGAGAACAAGCCTTGTGTTGTGAAGTTATTTCTGCCACTAGGCCTGTGTTTTCTTCCCCTGTATTTCATTTAAGGATGCCTACTCCGTCTCCCTTCGATACCTACTGCCAGCTGTTCCCCAGAGTAGCTGTCGCACTGCCACGTTCCCCTTGGTGAGGGAAAATGAAGGCCACATTTGCTCAGGTCCCACTGACGGCAGCCCAGCTGTGCCGGTTGCGTTTCTGCTTGCTGCAGAGTAGTTGTCTCTGCCAGCGGACTGGCTCCGAGGTGAATGCACAGGCCTGGTCCGTTCAGCCTGCCGTGACGGTCAGGGCAGAACAGTGTTGTGACGGTTCCTTGCTCTGTCACACTGCAACCTCCGGAGTTGCGTCCTACGCGTGCCCCTTCACCTCCTGCACCCTGCCGCTTGCAGTTCCTGTCCAGGTTTGTCTCCCTCCCACTGAGGGGATTTCTCTAATAATCTCCCGCTGGGGAGATACTTGCTTTCCTTTTTTTGCTGTACAGTGTTCATCTGTCTTGTAGCTTTCCCTGTGTTACTTTTATCTTCCGGTACCTCGCTGACTCCAGAAGAGTAGGGAGTGGCAGAGGCTGTGCAGCATCTGTGGCGTGGAGGGCTGGATCCTCCAGCAGCATTAGGTACGACCACGGGTAGCTCTCTGCCTTTCAGTTGTCCTCAGCCCTGACTTAGGAGCCCTCACAACATGTGGGAATAGATGATGACCTGCAGGAAAACCGGTAAGAAACCCCCTGAGAAGGGGACGGTTTGACGAGGCGGTAGTGAAATGGAAAGAGGCAGTTGCTTTGCCAAACCGAGTACAACTGCCTGGGGCAAGCACTCGTCGCTGGGCAAGCCGCTGTCCCCCTCCTATTGCCCCCTGGTTAGAGAAACAAATCTGACTGTGAGGGATGGGGCTTTGCCAGCAACACGGGCAACAAGGGGCCCACCAGGTAGCAGATGTCTGCATGTGGCCTAAGACCAAAGTCCTGCTGTCATCGGCCCGGAAGGCAACTGTACTTGGGTATCTGCTGTAGGCGGGGCGTTGCCTCTATTCGCTTCACCTCTCTTCAGTTTGGGAGTTCTGGTCCTTCAGCTGAATCTTGTCCTTATTTTCTCCAAGGGCGTGAGACAAAGGGGGGAGGTAAGAGGCCCGCTTTGGCAGGGGGCTGGTGTCCCCGCTCGCACGGGGTGGGGGGGAGCTGCCTAGTTGCGGCTGTTGGCACAGACGGTGCAGTCACCCGCTGCGGTGGCACTTCAACACCCTGTCGGGGGGGGTCCGTACTTGCTGCCACCTTCTCCATCAGTCACCACTGGCTGTACGTACCCGACTGCCTACCCAACATCCTACAGCTGTGCCAGCCTACTGGGTATGTACAATTATTAGTTATGCCTGTTAAAAAAACCTCGCAAACACAAGAATGCTTCTTTACCGGATGGATCAGAACAGCTTAATCTATCACTTATGTACACGTTTGCTCTTCCCTTTTCCATACCTCTTGGTCTGGTTTTCACAGGGCAGAAAAAAAAAAGCTGTTTTGATGCTCTTGACTTCAGTCGCTTCGAAATCTACAGCTTTTGGCATGATGAAATCGCATCCTTTGACGTCTTTCATCTCTGTAAGATGTTTTTTCCCTTTATTTAATGTGGCTACAGCATGTACATTAAAATACTCTGAGTAACGTTCAAGCACCTCTGTGTTTTCTCTTGTGCACAGCCCTCTGGATTCTAGCACTTCGTGGCAGACTTTAATCATGCCAGTATTGCAGGGTCCAGAAAATCGCTAGCTGGAACAGAGACCTGAAGTGACAGAAAACCCAGTGGGAACGGCAGCGCTCTCCCCTCGCCGCGGGGCAGCCGGCACACGGCTCTGGTCCCCTGCCCGGCGCCGACACCGTCACTGTGCTGGCGGAGACCAGCAGGCAGGAGGACCCGGCCCCCCCCGCCACAGCCACGACCTCCTCCTCCCACTGCCCGGCCACACCGCGGCCACGGGGCCTTGCCCAGCTGAAAGGAAAGCGGCTGCAGCTTTCTGCTGCTCGCACACACGGCACCCACCCAAAAACCCGCCCTGGAGCGCGGGGCAGCACCCGAGCACGGGTTGGGCTGGTCCTTCAACCCCACCATGAGAGGAAGCAAGGCCCGGGGCAGCGCCTGCAGAGATCCGAGCACTGGCCCCGACGCTACTGAAGGAGTTAACGGCCACAGCACTCACTTCGCACAGGTACAGGGCAGCCAAGGCGGCCTGCGCCGAGCCAGAGACTGATGGACAAGGCCTGAGATGTTTTAGCATCTGCCTCAGGGGCAAAAGGAGGGTGACGCTGGTGGAGCAGCACGGCCCTGCTCCAGGCCCTGCTCCGGGCCCTGCTCCGGGCCCTGCTCCGGGCCCTGCTTGGCCTGAGATCTCCCAGGGAAAGGGCCTGGAGGCACAGGCCCTGCTCCGGTCCCTGCTCCGGGCCCTGCTCCGGGCCCTGCTCCGGGCCCTGCTCTGGTCCCTGCTCCGGGCCCTGCTCCGGGCCCTGCTCCGGGCCCTGCTCCGGGCCATGCTCCGGGCCCTGCTCCGGTCCCTGCTCCGGGCCATGCTCTGGGCCCTGCTCCGGGCCGTGCTCCGGGCCATGCTTGGCCTGAGCTCTCCCAGGGAAAGGGCCTGGAGGCACGGGCCCTGCTCCCTACCAGCAAGCGACCCCAGTCCCGCTGCACTCCAAAGTGCTCTCAAGAGCAGCACCCCGTTTTTTTCCCTTCATCCCCTACTAGTACTCTGCTTAAACAGTTTTTACAAGAGAAAGGTCTGCTCCGGAAAATTCAATGAACCAAACCGGCAACGGAAAGGATGGTGACAGCAAAACAGCTTGTGCAAGTGTACAGACCCCTCATGCACAGCCGAGGGTTGGGGTGAGCTTGACTGTGCAGCTCTTCCTGCAGAAACAGCCCAGGGAAGGAACAACCCTGCATTTAATCCCTTTCTCTTCAGCATCTGCTTTACGGTTTTATTCCTGCCAACTATTTATTAATGCACAATGAGAGAGGGCTCTGCTTTACATTAAGAAATAAATGGTTCATTTTTCTTTCGCCCACAAAAGCGTCAGTGCTTTCTCTGAGCTCGTCCGTATGCTGCTGGTCTGGAAGACGCATTCGCTGCTGCTGGCAAGGAGGAGAGAGGGTGTCACAGGTCAGACCCAGCCCAGGTTGGCCGGCGAGATAACGCAGTCGGGCTGACCGAAGGAGAACTGGTCTTCATCCTGAACAGTTGTGAGATGACCGTACGTGTACCTGGTTTCAGCGTCCCCCTGCTCTTCTATTAACGTTTCCATCCTGGAACAGACAGAAAGAATCAAACCGTTGTTTACATAATTTAGCATTCATAAAACCCCTCTGCATATCCCTGAGAGCAAAATGAATTATGCACTAAATGGACCTGGCAACTGTACAGGCAGCTAAAGCACAAGATTTCAGCTGTGGCAGCTTTCCTGAGGGAAGCCATCATTCCGGGAACCCCCTCTCCCCGTCTCCAGTCCGGAGCCCAAGGAAAACGCTGCCTGGGGAGTCCTCGTGGCGAGGATGGGGAAGACTCGCTCCCTTCCACCCTGCCTCGGGCCGATGGGGAGGGAAACACACGCGAGTCCTGAGGAACATCTTCAGGATAAAAACGGTCAGGCCTTTTGATTCTGAAATTCAGATTTTTGAAACGATTTCCAGCTCACAAATCAAAGGCCAAGGCTTGCTGCTTCTAACTGCCCTCGCAGCATCACTGCGGAAAATAAAATTCTGCTGTTCTGTGTTTGCAATCCTCCCCGCTCCACACCCTAAGGGCGGAGTGAGGAGGGAGGGCTTGCATTATTTAAGCAGAATCGGTTTCTGCAACCTCAAGAGCAGGACAGCAGGGTGTCCTCAGCTCCAAAGATGAACACAAACATTAGCTTTACTCCAGAAGCAGCGGCAATTCTCAGAAAGAGATTTGTTTCATCAGCTCTACCATTTCTGCTTGGCTTCTGCAGGGAGAGCGCAGGATGCAGTGCCAGTGGCCACAGGCTGCCCTCTCAAGAGGCTGAGGACACCGTCCGGCTCTAACAGAGACCTGTCTTATTTGTACAGGTGAATTGGGGACAGGTTTCTAAAATCAGAAGTGCAGAAACACGAAAGGGATTTTACTAATGGTTGATATTCCATGTTTCTTTCCTTAACATTTGTAGGGGCTGGTATCAACCTTTCCCTAACAGGGCAACTGAAGAAAAGTCACGTGGAAAATCAGGAAAGCACGATTGTATTCTGGACTGAGGTGCAGCTTGATGAATACTAATTTCTCAGCTTTTTGTCTGTTTTGACGTGTCATTTCTTTAGTTTCCTGACAAGAAAAAAATACAACCCTTCTGTTCTTATTGCGAGCAGTTATTTCCCCCCCTCAGGCGGAGGGGGAGCCACCCCACAGCAGTCACTACACCCGAGCAGCCCCTCCAGGCTGGTAGCACAGCACGAACCAAGGGGCACCGCCTGCCTTTCCAGCAGAGACAGAGAAGCACAGAGGAAGGCTTGGGGATTTTTTTTTTTTTTTTTTGGCACAGCTGGGCTGCAGGGCTGATGAATCAAAGCATCTGCACTGCAAAGATCTACAGGAGAACCGATTGCCAGTTCCCCACTGAAGTACAAATATTTTACCTGCAGAATGGTGCAGATAATACATCCAGCAAGCTTCAGTGGGATTTCCACTATTTTCAAATTATTTGCACATTTAGGCTGTTTAAAGCAAGTCCTCAGGGCTGTTTCTTCACAGGTACTGGCCCAATGCTTGGCACAAGGAATCCTCTCTTACAGCAGCGACCTTGGGCACTCTGTGGGGTAGGAAATGATCCGGAGGTGGGTTTGTTTAATGGATTCTGACTACTGAAAACCCAACGCCTCATCTCCTTGCAGTAACACAGCTGCCTCTGACTACACTTGCATGAAGGTTAGAAAAAAAGCTTATGTCTAGCGAGAAAAAGCCGCAGAGCTTTTCTAGGAAAGCACCTCGTGCCTTTCCAAACACATCAGGTTGCCACCGCAGCTCCTTTATCCTGACAGCCACAGCCAGGCTTCCCCATCCACGGCTTGGACCAGAGCCCTGACACCTTGGGTGAGGCTCCCAGCTACCAGGCAGATTAACAGAGGAGCTGCCCCAATCAAAATGCTTTCATTTCAGCATTTCAAGGCCAACTGCTTTGGAAAGGTTTCACCTGCCACAACCCAACCGCTGACAGCTGAAGGAGGGTGAGCATGGTGAGGAAGGAGTGAGGAAAGGGACAGGCAGCACCTCAGGATGACCAGTGGCAGTTCAAACCTGCCGCTGAGAGCAAGGGTGACAGGCCCGTCCCTGGCACCAAGTGGCTCAGCTGGCTGCCACCAGGGAAGAGAAGCTGTTACAGAAGAGACACAGCAACCCGGGACCCCAGAGAAAGCAGACAGGGAAGCCCTTTTCTATTGACCAGGCAGTTTTCTACAACTAATTTACACTTAAAGTGTGGTGGCCAGAAGGCGCCCACGCCAACAGGGATGTCTCCAGCTGAGCACGATCCCCCTCCCCACCCACCACTGGTGCCAAGGGCAGACGGAGCGCTGTGCAGCCCAGCAGAGCCACGTGCCCTGCACAGGTTTCAGTCCTGCAGGGCTTCATTCGCTCTTGGGCCTGGGGGTGGAATTGTAGAGGAGGCAGAAAGCGGCGAGACCAACCGATGCTGCTGTCAGCCACTAGAAGACTCCAGAGGCTGCAACCAGCCTTGGGATGGGAGATTCCCAGAGGAAAGGTGAAATACAGCAGAATAAGGCTGCTGGAGGCTCCCACCTTGCAGATGCTGGGAAGGAACTGCCGAAACAGCCCATTTTTACCACCCGCAGCCCTGCAGCAGCAAGGCTCAGAGGCAGCAGGCAGATCACCATTGCTCCTGCACCTCCAGCTTCCCCCCCGATGCAACTGCTGCTCTGCAGCAGGACACGGGAGCTGAAAGCACTGGCTCCAGGCCACCCCCTGTCCCTGCAGGAGAAGCCAAGAGCACGAAAGAGAGAGGGAAGGGACTGAAACTGTCCCCTGAAGGCGGCAACAGCAGTGGTCCCCGAGCCCGGGGAACCTGTCCTAGGGCTGAGACACTGAGGCGGCCTCTTCTCCAAGAGCGAAGCCAGCAAGGAGACGGGCTTGGAGGATGAAGTCAAACCGCTTATCCGAAAAGCCGCGGGTCTGGAGCAGGATTGGCTCTGCCAGGCCCAAGGGCCACTGCCCAGAACGGCTGGCGGGGGCGATCCTCTCACCTGGGCTGGGGCAGGAAGCAGAGCCCGGCAAGGGCAGAGCCCAGGTGCTGTAGCCCTGCTCCAAAGCAGCCCAACAGGAATTTTGCTAGAGAGGATTTCCACTTGGGGACTTCAGTTTGGGAATACGAGACCCTTCCCAGGGAGATTCAAGGTGAGAAAAACTGGCCCGAGACTAACTCTTATCAGACGCTCATAAAGAAATCTGTGTCATGCTTCAAGAAGAAAGGATCTGTGTTGGTGAGGCCAAAATGTCACCTGCTTTATTTTAGGTGACTTGCTACAGAGTTCGTAGGATTTTTCACACGCAGGTAACCATGAAAAACGTTTTTAAGAATATCCGGGTACATAGCACAAGGGAGATCGTTCTTTTGAAAACACGCTTTCATCTAGGAAACGTGCTAGAGCTGAGTTTCCCATGTTTTATCAAAATCATTTCTATTAGGAAATAATAAAACCCACTTAATTGTAGATTAGCTCACCTGATCTTCAGTCCTTGCTGCTCAAACGCTCTGCGCTTGCAACAGGAAGCAACTAAATCAAATGCAGCAGCAGCACATAACCTATGGCGGCTCAAAACTCCCCACAGAAACCTTCAACTAGTTGCCATTTGATAGACAGCTACTTGTGAGCATCAGTGCGTGCGCTGCTGTGCCTGACAGAGCTGGAAGCAAAGGGATGCGGTGGGAAGAGAGGTTTAAGAGATTTTCTCCCTGCGTGAACCCAGTGGCACAGCAGAAACGCACAGCAGAGCTTTGGGCGACGTGCAGAAGAAAGGCTTCACACTGGGTTTGCACATGGCAGCAGTTCAGCCGCGGGTCTTCAAGCTGCTGCAGTTTTTACCCTCGCTCAGTGCGAGCTGTCAGCCGGGCCCGTATGCGCAGCAGCAGCCCCGCAGGTGTGGGTTACAGCTCAGCGCTGCCGTCTGTCCTCCCAAAGGCCGAAGTCCGGCTCCAGCGATCACCGGCTGGCGTCCACCCAGCGCCGCCTTCACTCCGAAGTCCCAGAACTGCACAACCTGCCCGGGAAGATAACGTAGCAGTTCTTAATGCCGTTCTCTGACCCTAAAGTAGAATAACGATTCCTGCCCTCTGCTGGTACCTCTGATATCCTTTCTCTTTTCCCACATAAAAATCCCGGCCCAAGATACAAACCGAGCAACAGACATCCATAAACACGAGCGTACTACGCAGACTTCCATTATTCATCCGGACCCCGCTCTGGGTGTACCCTACAAATATTGCAGAACAGAACAAAGCCACAGCAGCGCGTTGCGAAGCGGCACCTCTGCAACTACAACCACCTTCCCCCCACCCCTTGTCGTCCCAAGATCCTTTACAACCCTTTCAGTTCTAAAAAATAAACCCAAATCACACATCCGCTTCCTTGACCCTCTCTCAATAAAACCCCCTTTCCCAACTGCTCCTCTTCCCACCTAGCTCCTTTTTGCTGCCAACCCATCCTTTCCTCTCCCACCTCTCCCTCTCAGCTGCCCCCCCATCGCCAACGCCAGCGCCTTCTCCCGCCAAGCCCCGCTCCCGCCCAGGGCCCATCCCGAAAACCAGCCACTGCGAAAGAGGGACTGGTGTTTCATACAGCAGGTTCCAGAGAAATGGGAACCTGCAGCCAAGTGAATGAAATGCAACATTTTTCTCAGAGCGGGGGGAAAACAAAACAAAACAAAACAAAACAAAAAAAAAAAAAAAAGAAAAAGGATCGATTGTGGCTTTCGAAGATCACAAGCCTTTTCTACTTACAATCTTGTGCCTGCAAAATCCCCTCCTCCTATCCCAGGAGAAGGTGGGATCCCAAACCAAAACCTACCATTACCACACCCCACCTTCTGCTCCTCAGCGCGCCAGGCGCGCAGGAGGCACAGGCCGCAGACACATCAAGGAGAAGCTGCTTTTCCTGCTCCCCCCGGGTTCTGTCGCGGCGGCTTTCGGGAGGCCGGGCAGCCCCTGGGCCTCCTGGCCTGCAGCTGAGCGAGGGAGCTGCCCCTTCCAGGCCCGGCCTCGGCGCCGCTTACCCGACACTCAACCACGGACGCGCTGGCAGCTCCGGGGACAAGGGGCGATTCCCACGGGCGGTGGGACGCAACGCCAGCGGCAGGGAAGCTCTCTCAGTGCAGGCCAGCCCCTCGCCGGGCTGTGGAGACAGAAACCTTCCAGCTGTGCGGCGTGCCGCTGAGGTCACCTAGCAAATAACTTTTAAAAATTACGGCGTAGAGAAATCCAGCAGCGAGACCCCCTTTTCAGCTCCGTTAGTGAAGAACAATAAAACCCAACAGCTGAAGATGTCTTTAGAAGGAGCACTGGACAAAAATACCAAACATTATTTCATGGGTTTCCCGAATTAATTCATCTGGATAAGAAATCTAAAGGCAAAATGCCAGTATCAACTCCATTTCCAAAGCAGCGTCCCTTCTACGATACGGTATAAAACTGAATTTCTTAATAAAATTCATTTCAAGTCCCTGGTGGTCTTATGAATTTGGTGGCAACAAATTTGATCGCTTTGGTAATTCCAGAAGTTTAATTAAAGCTGTGCCCAAGCACAAATGGGAACTGTAGGTAAGTTGTCCCAAACCCCCGTGATTCTCAGACTAATCATAATAAGCCGAGCTCTCGTCAGGAAGGGCTTGCTTTTGCACAGCTAAATCTGGAAGAAGTTCCTGCTCCATCCCGCACGCCCAAGCGCTGGAGATTTTCTGCATCGTGGATGAGGCGCGGCTCAAACGTTCGCGCCGGCTGGAACACCTCCGTCCTGGAGACTCCCGAGGCAGGCAGGACACTTCTAAGTGGTTAAAAACGTACCGGGAGGTAACGGGCGAGCGCAGTGCCAGGCGAGCCCCCCAGAGCCCCCGCTGCGCTGCGGGAGCTGCCCTCCTGCCGACACCCCGTCCCGCTCCTGCCCGGCCCAGCGCCGGCTCCCACGGGGGGGGCTGAGCCCACCGGGTCCCTCGGTGCTGCCCGGCCCAGCACCGGCTCCCGTGGGTGAGAGGTGCAGGATGAGCCCCCCCAGGACTTGGCCAAACGCTCTCCCGCCGTGCACCGAGCTGAGCCCGCGCCTGAAATCCCAGCAGCACACACAGGTTTCCGTCCTCGAAAAAGCAAAGTTCATGCGACAAAACTACCCCTTCTAATGAAATTAGGAAAAAAAAAGCCCCGTTTGCTCAGTACTTCAGATGATTCTTTTCAACACACCTCGCATTACTGTAATTTTTGAGGCATATAATGCTGCAAGATACAGATAAAAGCCTGATGTCCCCTCTGCACCACGGCTGGAGGCATCGGCAGCCTAGAAGGGTGCAGAAGGAAACGCTCAGAGGCGTTTGTCACTTGTCAAACAAGATGATGCTGAGACGCCCAAAATATTTTCTTGTGGCCGTATTGGGGACGGCCTGAGCAGAGCACCAGCACGCGGGCACCAGAGTGCTACCTCGGAAGAGGAGCCTGCTGCCTCACTCCAGGGATGTATTTCACCGACACCTGAGTACTCCTAAGTTTCTGAGGTACGCTTCGTAGACCCAAAATTCGCTAAACATCGCTGAAAGACATTCTGGGTGTGCCCAGAAAAACAGAACTTAAAATAGCATTTTCCTCTCTCTGACAAACCTTTCAAGCAACAGGAGACTGACTGGACCTTCTGTAGGGCAGGAGAGTAGCCCGGAGCTACAAGATTTGTTTTAAACCTTCCCAGCTGCTGCTGCGGGACAACTGGCATGTTTGTCACACTGCCAAGGAGGTAAGAATTCAATACAGTGGCACTGTGGGGGAGGCAGTACATATTGACATGGGAAAGCCGTCAAATACAAAGTACTTTTATCTTACCTGAAAACGATTCCTTGAAAAACAACATATACTTTTAAAATAACACACAGTTGTGTTGGCCTTTAATCTTAATGCTAGGAGGAAGAACAGAAGAGGCATATTTACAGTGTCAAGACTTCAGTTAAAGAACTTTGTATTTTTACCCGATTCCGCTGTCTGCCCGGCCTTCAGACCTACAGAAACCCCCCGGCAGGACCCTCCTACACTTGCCAGCTGGGCACAACCACCACCCACAGCCACCTCAGAACAAAACAGGTTGCAGGGCTACAGCTGAACAGGCAGGAGAGGGCCCGGGGCAGCAGCACGGGCTCACAGGCGGAGCCCCTCCCGGCCCTGGGCAGGCCCTGCTCTCCCCACCTCCGGGAAACCAGCCGCCCCGCCGAGCCGAGCGAGGGGAGAGGGGCAGGGTGTCCCCTGCTCCCCTCCCGGGCACGGGCAGCCAGGCCCAGGCTCCCGAAGGCACGGCCCCCTGCCCCCAGGGCCGGGAGGCAGCCAGCTCCTCTCCTCCCCCAGCAAGTCCCAGCGCCCGCCCTGGGGGTCCCGCACTGCGTGTGGCCTCGAGGGGCACGCCGCCCGGCCCGGCCCCCCGTCACTCCTGGGGGTCCCTTCCCTGCCGGAGGGCTGGCGGAGCTGCAGCCCTCAAACTACCGTCTACTACGACATCTTCTCATCGAGGAATTTAATATCCAATTTATCCAAGTAAGGAAGTCGCTTCTTTTCTCTTTCACTGAACCATGGTGAAAAAAAGGTCACTGTTTTATTCAGCATCATAGTTACATAACAGTTGTCTGTTTCTATTACTAGAAAGAATTTATTAAAATAGTCCTGAAAGACATCTTTTCCTTCTCCAATGATTTCAAAACTATGCCTTTGAATGCCAATTCCACAGTCACGGGTGTGATCGGTAGTAGTCCGTTATAACAGTTGTCAAGGCACAAGCTCAGCTCTGCACAACGGCTGCAGCTTGTTTTAGAAAAGAGATATGCCAGTTACAGCTTCACTTAAGAACGCATAATCCCTTTATCGCATATTGCAACAGGAGAAATTAACATTAAACACAGACTACGAAAGGTAAAGGATTTATTTCTGATATGATTTGTAGAGTTAAATTAAAAACCTACTGAATACTTTATGTAGCAGATGAACATAACCTTAGTACTTACTCTCTAACAGTTTATTTAATGGTTGGAAGTGTACAACATGAAGTAGGCCTTACGTTTAATATTGTTCAATTTTGCTTATTGTTAGATGAGATTAAAATACAGTAGCCATCCCTTTAGATTATGTTGCAACACTGATCATGTGCCTTGATAAGTAGGAACAACAATTCATTCAATAAATGGTGATGACATATCATGTAGGGAAGACTTTGGATTGTCTATTTAAAATGTCAACATAATAGGCAATTAAGAATAAAACTTCATTTTAAGTGCACTTCCACATGCTTTGTTTATAATATAGCAAAAACTTCCTATCTTTTTTCCAATCACTTCACTCCCTACTCTAAAGCTGTTCAGTTGAAAATGCACTTTCCCCAGTAAACTTCTTTTTAAAAAAAAAAAGTAACTAAAATTTCTACCCTTTCATACGCTAAGAAATGTTTCCTAATTAAAAACACAGTTTATTACAAGACATGTGAAGACAACATATAGTGAAATGAATTTTAATTGTTGTGCTGTGACTAAAGTAAAGTTCTCAAGGCTGCAATTTAACATTCCAAGTTCTCCCTTCCATCTTTATTGATTCTCAAGATTTTGCACAGAAACTCTTTGGGGGCTAGAACAGCAGTAATTGCATCACACTGTTTTCCAAGACTTCAAGTTTCAAAAGCAAACTCTTCAAAAAGTACAGTTCTTGATTTGATTAGATACAGGGACAAAAATATAGCACATACTTGAAGGTTACATGGTCTACAAATGATGGCAATATTTTCCTTGGGAGAGTACAGTTTGTTTTCTTGTAAATACTCAAAAAGGCTCAACTTCAAGCAGTAATAAACACAAGCAAAAGTGATTTAACCCTTAAAATAAATATTCAGGAAAACCTCTCTGTACATACAAGTGAAAGAATATGTAACACTTTCACGCTAAAAGAAAAAATAAAGATTTTGTTCATATAAGCAGCTGAAATCTGCTGTTCCAGCCCAATGTCCCCAGTAAAGAAGGGAGGCACAAACACAGGTGACTACTGTAGCTCACTATCTTATGGCCTTTTCGGACAGGGACATCATCACCATCATTTTTTTAATCCCTTTTGTTATATTTATTACAGCATGCCAAATCCTTTGGCATATGTGATGGCCTTCAATAATCTTTCTTTAAGCTTCTCTTTGCTTGAGTACTCCGGAAGCAAAAGTACATTAAAGCATGTGTGAGATGTAGGTAACCTGTGGGGAAAAACAAACAAAAAAAAAAAAAAAAACAAACCAAAACCAAACCAAAACAAAACCAACCAAACAAACAAAAAAAAACAACAACAAAAAAAATTTCAGATCTGGGAACATGCAGTACATGCAAAGAAATACATCACTATTTCACAAACCCAAAATAATGAATTTAAAGAGAATCTGCTTAAAGATTCAACTTTCAGATTTAACTAAGTTAATAAATCAAAAGCACAGAATTTGCTTCCATTTATAAACAAACAAGCAAAACGTAGATTTTATTTTTTTTTTTACCTCTCTGTATCTGGGCCATTTTTGGCTATGATCATCTTTAACTTTCCAAGTCCTCCCACAGGGGCTCTGTCTGTGCCTGTTGTAAACTGTAAGAATAATCTTTTCTGTTCATCTGTAAATGAATGGACTATTTCCCAGAATTCCCTATCAAGAAAGAAATCAAAAAGTAAACAAACTGAGAACTTTCTTTGGTATAAATGGTTTCAAAAGTAATTGAACTTTGCAGGTTTTAGTAATTCTAACCAGTCTTTACACCAAGTTGACAAGCTGCATTCATAAACCCAAACTACCAATAATGTATTTACCACTGATGAAATTCAGCAGTAGAGATCAGAAATATCACCACAACGCTGCAGACCGTTTTAAAATGTTAATCAGGCTGATAAGTGATCTGGAAATATTCCTATTTTCTAAACAATTACACTGGTTCCACTACACTGTCCACTCCTACCACCTTCTTAAACACCTCAGGAAACAAACGCAGCTCCTGCCAAAGGTTTTCTACCCTGTCAGGCACTAGAGTTAGGCCGTTGGAAAAGTCTAGAGGACAGAAGATGTACACTTCTCTGACCCGTGTCTTCAGAGAGTTCTCTAGTCAAAGGGGAAAAGAAGGTAAAACCGTTACAGTTACTCAAATTCTCATTAGAGAAGAAAGTTCTACACGTGCAGCCTATTCAAACAGTTCAGTGTGTGCCCCTTTTTTTTTTTTTGTTTTTCTTCTTTTAAAGCAGCAGAGCAGTGGTAATTTATTGAAACAGCCCTGTTTGTACTGGGGATTATTTAACTGTATGGTATAAGAGAAAGATAAAACACCGACAAAAAAAAAATCAGTTTTAAGCTTTATCAAAGTTCACTGGAAGCTAAAGACAATGCTTCTACTATTTGCTCTTTTCTAATGACAGTACTTGAGTAAAGTGAAATTATACGTAAGACACTTGCATCTCTAGTACCACAAAATCCTAAATCTTACAATAATAAATTCATTACGAAGAAACAGGCATGTAAAGTGCTTTTAATCTTTCAGAAATTAGAAAAAATTACCTAATAATAAGAGAGTCTCTTGTGTAGCCACCGTCATATTCTGTAGTTTCTTCTAGTGCTTGAAAATCTAAATTCTGTAGGAAGATGATAGTTTTTAAAATGATCACTAATTATATACTTAGGATCAAAAAAGCTCCACTTTCTGGTTACATTCAGGACTCTTACCCTACTTCCACAAATAAGTAATTCAATTTCCTCCGGTCTAAATAAATATTTCAAGGGAGATTCATTGGTCACCATGTGGAATCCTCTCCGAAAGGCTTTGAACTGTTTTTCTACTGATTTATTGAGTATATAGTCAGCATACAGATTGACAAATTCCTGTAGGGAAACAAGCCCCCAAAAAACCTTAGTACTCAGACCTCCAAATGTACTGAATTCTGTAATTCTATGTAGACTATATTTACAGGACCCCCAAATACAACGAATTCTAGAATTCTACATAGATTATCTGAGCTCAGCCTC